TGATCATGTTCCGTCGCCTCAGGAGAAGAGCGGTGTCCCATTTCTCTTTCAAGTTCCCCGCTGATAGGTCCACTCCCCTCTTCCCCAATATTTCCGGTTGGTTTGATAAGATCCGATGTGTTCTGTGTAGTAACTGATTATTGGCTGATTGTTTGCAACTATGTATTGTAAAGTTAAGGTCTGAAGAAGGCATTATATGCCGAAAGCTAACCAATAAAGTGGAGTATCAAGAGCTTCGAAAATACACATGAAAAAGAAGTATAGTTGTCCAAAACCGCCCACCAGTCAATACAGTGCAGGAATGTATCCAACCTCCTATAATCAACATTGGCAAAATCCGGAACAGGTACAGGGGGATGTGAAGGGAACGATTGGATAATCTTGAACGTTACTACATTATGATTGGCATTAGAGAAGGGAGGAAGTACGGAGACATCAGTGACGAGTGGTGCGGAGCACAGAACTAGGTCTAAGATGTTGGACCCAAGAGTAGGATGAGTCACGTATTGAACGAACCCGTAGTTTTCAAAAAACTGGAGGTACAAGCCGGAGGAATGATTTCGTGGCATCTTCGAAGGCCAGTCAATATTCAGGTTAAAAACGCCAATCAACAAGGTATGACAGGAGGATGAACATATATCCGAAAGAAACTCGATGAAAGAGGCATCACCAGTAGGAGAAATATTTGGTGGGCGGTAGACAGCAACTAGTCTTAAAGAAGTAGGGAACAACCCGTTAAGAAACTCAACGCAAATTACATCAGGCATAAGTTCTATTCCAACATTCACTTCTTTGCAAATCATGAAGGAGTTAACTAGACAGCATATCCCACCCCCACGTCTACCTTTGCGGTCATGTCTGTAGACATTATACGGAAGGTTGGCAATCAATTCGGAATCAGTTACATTTGATTTCAGCCATGTCTCAGTAATTACAACAACATCAGGCTTGAAAGTACTCAAAAATAAATGTAAATGGTGGATTTTCTTCACTAAACTACGTGCATTAAAGAGGACACAATTAAAGGCATTATCATTTACAAGACCATGCTTCGTTACGCGTTTCCCGATCTTTTAGCTTTAAGCTCAGAAATACGTCTAAGCTCGCCTTTGTAAACCACCCATTCTCGAGTAGATTTACTTTTATTACGTTCTTTAGCCTGTTGCCTCAGCTCATAGTCACGCTTTCGCTCATCTTGAGTCATACTTCTCCTAACAAAAATGTTTGGAAACCCAGCTGACCTCAACTGTTTTGCATTAGAAAGCGCAATCCTCCAAAAGGAACGTGAAGGGAGGAGGACCTTCACTAATCTGGGACATGAGGGGTCTTCCTTCCCTACACGGTACAGCTCAACGGGACGACACTCCACGTTGAGGGCATCAAGTATGTTGGTGACTTTCACCTCTAAATCTTTCTGCCTTTCAGATGGGCGCATCTCGGATGGGGCCTCCTCAACACCACTAATAACAATACTTTTTGATCGTTTATCGGCTTCTACAAACTCAGCCACATCCTTTGAAATCTTTTCTGCAAGCACCAGTAGCATCCTCTCGATAAATGGATCCGTGTTGTGCTCTAAGACTACTCTGATAAGTTGACTAGCTGACAGCCTACCGTAATCGGCATCCGCCGAATCCGCACTTATGCCCTGGTTGGGCACCAATTGTTGAGCTGCCTCAGGTTCACTGGATTTACTCATGGTTTCCTTTCTTTTGCTAACACGGTCTACTACCTTTGGCGCCATGATCAATTAAACAGACCGCACAAAACAATTGATCGGAATCAACAANAGAAGATGGAATAGACGATCTCTACTCCCTACTCCATTATTCACAGTGTTCTACGCAAAACTCGTTTTCAAAGCAGGACTCCTTGTAAACACCGCCCATTTTTTGGCTGGTCAGCAGCTCGAGAGCGAGTCAGTGTGTACCAGAAGCGCCTCGATTGTAAGCAAACGACGACGTCAGCCGACTTCATTATTGCTCAGGATAAAAAGTAGATGTCATATGAAAATCCACACAGGAAATCGCAGCGCCCACCAATGGACATAAAGCCGCAACCCGCTCTGAAGCGAGGCGCCCATGCGACGAAAGACATGAGCTTATTCTTTCTCTGCGCAGCCGGGTATTTTCTTGGGAAATCTTACCAGAGTGCGTTGCGGTAAACGCAAGAGTATTGAGTTACCAACTTACCAACCAACATAGTTTAGGTATAGTTTTGACCGTATTGCCTTCGAGTTGCAGTTTAATGTTTTGAGGATTTATTTTTAAGGTTTGGAAAAGCAGAACAGGTATTGTGGGATCCAGCATTGCTTCGTTCTTGAATGAGATTTATAATCAGTTACTGAAGGAGTTTTTTACGTTCCCATGTTGCCACATTATTGAATGTCTTCATTTTTGGTTACTTCCAACTAGGTACAACACTTATAGATTCATTTTGGGGTTTTATAAGGGTGTGCTCTTCCATTTATATTGTATTTCACGTTTTTGTTCGAAATGTAGCTGTTATTTCGTGCCTTTACTACTTGTCCGTCTTACTATCCTGTGCGATAAATGCCGCTGTAATGTTTCCAGCAGGTAACTAGGCCGAAAGGCAGATGCTTGTAGTTTCCGGTGCCCCTTGCCAACCTTTGTTTTTATTCGATCGATATGATTTCATCCGTTCATTTAGAATGTTGCTAGGTTAGTCTAGAAAGGAATTCCCTCTCACCACTTGTGATTTAACAATTTTCTTTTTTTTTTCAAATTTTTAATGACTGAATGCAATACGTACGGTTTAGAATCAAGCGTGCGATATGGTATTCATCTCTTTTGCATATGCTCTTTTCTCCTTTACTTCATCATGTTTTAAGGCTGGATTCTGGATATCATTCACAATCGCTCATCCTCACAGAAATGTTCCTAACATGACTTCTGTATTACTTCGTCAGCTATTAATCTCCAGATGCCCTCCAGTCCAACTACAGCCCTTTTCTCGTCTGTCCTTTGATCCAGTTTCCAGTTCGTTTGCAATACTTTTTAGACACGGACGCTTGACATTTGTATCGAATCGTTCTGGTAATAACTTTTATTGAGTTCCTAAATAAATTATTCACATTTCTACAAGTTCTCGCTCGAGGTTTATGCGGAGTTCCGCCTACGGTAGTTACCCAAATGACTTGCAATTTCTGGTTTTTCTAGGCATTTTTCATTGTCTTCGTGTTATAAGCAAAATATTTATTCAAAAATGAAAAACATGAGTCATAACAGATACCAGTGAAGTGAGATATGCCAGGAGAATCAAATGAAAATTCTTAAATGTGATTCCAATTTAGAGTAGTAGCAGAGAATAAAATAAAGGTTGATAAATTTGTAAAAAAGTATTTGTTTCTCTATGAGGTCAATAAACAAGGCAAAAAAGCAGAACGGTCTATGAAAGCCCGAAGGATTGTCATGATACAGTAATGGAAAAGGGTGAAAATGAACAGAAATTAATTTCGAAGACTATAGAAGTAAGAGTAGGACCTCGCTTAAGGTCAAGGATTGTGTGGGGATGTGCAAGGCTTGTGGAATTCCTTGAGGGTCGACTTCAGCATAAATGGAAGAGCACACCCTTATAAAACCCCAAAATGAATCTATAAGTGTTGTACCTAGTTGGAAGTAACCAAAAATGAAGACATTCAATAATGTGGCAACATGGGA